TCTGTTGTTTTTAGTAACTGAGGGACGACCCCGTGTCCATGCTCCCTCTCCATAGGATGGAAAAGGCTCGTGATAGGGGCTTCTTGCAGTTCTTGATAAACACAGAGTTCCATGAGTCTGGCCCTGGGGCAGAGTGCATGGGCATGTCATTTATCGCCTGTTCGAAGTCATTTGGCGTCAGGATAACATCGGATAGGCTTGTGTTAATCAAATTTTGTGGCTCTCTCATAAAAAATTCATTTTGATCTTCGACTCTCAGTCTGGTTAGCGGCTTGCTAAAAACTGAGTCATATTGGGACTTGAGTAGCTCACTCATTTCCTTGCTGTCATCTGTGTAGGACCCATCTTGTTTAAGTAGGGGCCCAATACTGGACGTTGTTCTCGATTTTGATTTGGCATAGGAGAAGAAATACTTTGGGTTTCTTTCGATTTCATTTATGGCTTTTAGTTCTTCCCGCGATTCCTGACTCCTAAAGGATTCTTTTAGCTTAAGTTCGATGCTTGCTATTTCTCTGACCAGTGTCTCCCTGCGCATTTCTGATATATTGACCTCTTTTAGCCGCTCTGTTATTCTTTTCCGTCGCCTGTAAAGGGAGCGCCTGTCTCTTTCTATTTTACATCTACTCCTCCTTTTTCTTAGAGGAATAAGCCTTGTGCATACATCGAGTGCCACCGAGTTAATCTGTTCTAGGCATAAGTTTGGGTCTGTGTTGCTTAGTATATCTTCCCAGCTTATATCGGTTAGGACTTGGTTTACTTGGTCCCACTTTATGTTTTTGTTATTGAAGTTGAATTTGGTGAATGCTCCCTCGTGACTAGTCTCATTTTGTCGGTCTGAGGCTCCACGCATACATGTCTGAACCTCAATTATGTTGTGATCTGAGTATATTGTTTTTGATATGGTGACATTTCTTATCAGATCATCATTGTTAGTGAAGATGAGGTCTAGTGTATTCTCCAGTCTAGTAGGCTCTATTATTTGCTGGTTTAAATTGAATTTTGTGCAGAGATTTAAAAGCTCGTGTGAGTGTGAGTTTTCATCAGAGCTGCCTCCTGGTGTTATTACTGCAACAATATTATTTGCTATATTCCTCCATTTTAGGTGCCTTAAGTTGAAATCCCCCAGGAGCAAGATGTTGGGTGCAGGAGCTGGAAGATTTTCCAGACAGTGGTCAATTTTTAACAGCTGTTCCTGGAATTGCTGGGATGTTGCATCCGGAGGCTTGTAGACTACCACAATGACTAGGTTTTGGTTCTCGACCTTTACTGCTAAAACTTCCACTACGTCATTTGAGGCATTAAGCAGTTCTGTGCAAACAAGTGACTCTGCAATGTACAGGCCAACCCCCCCCTTTTGCCTGTTCACTCTGTCACATCTGTATAGGTTGTAACCTGGGATCCATATTTCGTTGTCCAAGTGATCCTTTATGTGGGTCTCAGTGAAAGCCGCGAACATTGCCTTTGCCTCTGCAAGCAGTCCACGGATGAAAGGTATTTTGTTGTTTATTGCTGGCTTTAGACCCTGTATATTTGCAAAGAAGAATGTTATCGGACTGGTGGTATTGTTGGTACTGCTAAGTATGATATTCTATGTAACTTTATTTGTGTATACCTAAATAAACTTACTTATGATGCCACATGCGCTTGAGTAAGTTTATTCAGGTGTACAGAAATACAATTACATGGATTAGCATACATAACAGCATATGTATAAAATCCTAGGATAACCCAAAAAAGTCAGGGTGACTTATTTCCATAGGGATCAATGTATCTGTATCATATGGTGCCCTGTACTGTATGGTACCCTGTACCATATGGTACCCTGTGCCATATGGTACCCTGTGCCATATGGTACCCTACACAATATGGTACCCTGCACCATATGTTATCCTCTCCTGCAGGGTACCCTATACCATATAGTACAATGTACCATATGGTACCCTGTAACATATGATACCATGTACCATATGGTCAACAGGTGTTGGTGGCACGAGACACCAGCCAAGACTGAGTGGTGACACAAGGTAGCTACTGACTCAGCAGTTTCCAAGACAAAACGCTTTGTCATCCACCTCAAGGAACATGTCGAGTTCCTGTACATTTGTAAATATATAATAGAACATTACTAGTATACAACATTTTTGCATATTTTTGTTGTAAACAACTATTGTAAACACAATAATGATGAAAATATAAGTGTGTTTATTGTGTTGAATAAAACAGTACCATATATTACCATATGGTACAATGAACCATATGGTATCATTGTATTGTATGGTACAAAGTACCATATGGTACCATTGCACCATATGGTACCATTGTATCATATGGTACCATTGTACCAAATGGTGCCATTGTACCATATTCTACCATATGGTACCATTGTATCATGTGCCATTATACCATATTGCACCATATGTACCACTGTACCATATGGTACAATTAAACTATATTTAACCATTGCACCCTATGGCACCATTGTACCATATAGTACTATATGGTACCGTTGTATTCAACACAATAACTGCACTAACATTCTCATCATTTTGTTTACAATAAACTTGTAAACAAGTTTTGTAAGCAATATAATGATAAACAAATTAGTGCAGTTATTGTGTTGAATACAATGAGTGTACACTTATACAATATACATTATATTGGTCTCACAGGCCACAAATGTTACTGGAAAAAGAAAAAATTAGAAAAGAAAAGAAAAAAGTATAAAAAACGTAAAATAAAAAAATACGATTTTGCAGAAGTCACTGATGTTGCCGCCACCCGGTCATTTTGGGTCAACTTCCCGCTGCTGTATCTCGGTAAGTGCTGATCAGAATTTTTTTTTTGTTTTATTACCTTCACAAAAATATCTTTAATTCTGTAAGAAAAAACAATTTTTTTTTTTTTTTCAAAATTTCTTGGACACTGGTTTACCCCTTACCAAACCACCTCAACAACCCCTCTTCAGAGGGCTGCAGAGGAGTTGTTGAGGTGGTTTGGTCATTTAGAGAGAATGGATCAAAGTAGAATGACATGGAAAGCATATAAATCTATAGGGGAAGGAAAGAGGGGTAGGGGTCGTCCTCGAAAGGGTTGGAAAGAAGGGGTAAAGGAGGTTTTGTGGGCGAGGGGCTTGGACTTCCAGCAAGCGTGCATGAGCGTGTTAGATAGGAGTGAATGGAGACGAATGATACTTGGGACCTGACAATCTGTTGGAGTGTGAGCAGGGTAATATTTAGTGAAGGGATTCAGGGAAACCGGTTATTTTCATATAGTCGGACTTGAGTCCTGGAAATGGGAAGTACAATGCCTGCACTTTAAAGGAGGGGTTTGGGATATTGGCAGTTTTGGAGGGATGTGTTGTGTATCTTTATACAGTGGACCCCCGGTTAACGATTTTAATCCGTGCAAGAGGGATAATTGTTATGCGAAATAATCGTTATGCGAATGAATTTTCCCCATAAGAAATAATGGAAATAAAATTAATCCGTGCAAGACGCCCAAAAGTATGAAAAAAAATTTTTTTACCACATGAAATGTTAATTTTAATACACACAAACTGAAAAAGGCATGCACAATTACATGACACTTACTTTTATTGAAGATCTGGTGATGATTGATGGGATGGGAGGAGGGGAGAGCATTATCTTCTTACTGTTTAGAAGGGGAATCCCCTTCCATTACGACTTGAGGTAGCAAGTCCTTTTCCGGGGTTACTTCCCTTCTTCTTTTAATGCCACTAGGACCAGCTTGAGAGTCACTGGACCTCTGTCGCACAACAAATCTGTCCATAGAGCTCTGTACCTCCCGTTCCTTTACGATTTGTCTAAAATGGGCCACAACATTGTCATTGAAATAGTCACCAGCACGGCTTGCAACAGCTGTGTCAGGGTGATTTTCATCTATAAAGGTTTGCAGTTCAACCCACTGTGCACACATTTCCTTAATCTTTGAAGTAGGCACAATGGATTCCACAACTGGCATAGGCTTCTCAGGGTTAGCCCCAAACCCTTCAAAATCTTTCTTAATTTCCATACTAATTCTCACCCTTTTTACCACAGGGTTGGCACTAGAAGCTTTCTTGGGGCCCATGGTCACTTATTTTCCAGAAACAGCACCGAAAACACTGTAATAATACGAAATATTCCGAGTGTATGCTTGGATGTTACCGCGGAGGCTGGCTGGTAAACAATGGGACGGGCGGCACATGTGAGGGCACATTGGACGCGTCTCGGACGAAAATCGGTGAGCGGGTTTTTAATCGGTATGCGCGGCAAAAATTTTGCGATAAAAGTAAGCGGTATGTGGAAAAATCGCTATGTGATGCCATCGTTATGCGGGGGTCCACTGTACGTATATGCTTCTAAACTGTTGTATTCTGAGCACCTCTGCAAAAGCAGTGATAATGTGTGAGTGTGGTGAAAGTGTATAATAATAACACTTCTTAGGAACAATATATCTGACTGAATGATGCCAAGGTACTTATGCAGTTTAAATTTGAAACATCAATTGATTTAGATTATATTTTACAAAATGACTATCAGAGTTGAGCAATGTGAACTATGATGAAAGATTGAAAACATTAAAGTTGCTCATGTTGGCTGAAAGCAGGAAAAGACAAGACATGATAACCACATTTAAGGTCATAAAAGTACTTACAACAGAACTTAAAAAAATTCTAAGTACGTACCTGAACCAGGGATAACAAGAGGCCATTGTTACATACTGAGGAAAAAGTGGAGTGGAAAGGATAGCAGAAAACTGTCCTTCTCATATAGAGCAGTTGACCAGTGGAGCTTTAGAGGAAGAATTAGAAAGTGCAGCAACCACTGGAATTTTTAACAAATTCTATTATGAAGAGAGTATTGAAGATGGGACACAACGAACATAACTGTTCCTATGGCTACAAAGAGGTAATTTTACACCCACACAAACACAGTATTTGCAAAAATACAAATTAAAAGTAGTTATAATAAAGAAGAAATTAATGGTTAATGACTTGCCTGCTGACTGCTGTGATTGCTTGGGGTGTTGATATGAAGAATGAGAGGTCTTGGTAAGTGTGACCTCACCATATACTGAGGACTGAATACCACTAATAACCTCCAAACTGTTCCAACTCTTTGCCGCAGTACACGACACCAGGCAATGATACTCTCACCCTTGACTTTCAGAGGGATTTTGACAAGCATGGATTCTCTTGTACGTTCATATGAGAGGGGAATTTCCCCTGACCAGACGGTGGGAGTGCCCAATAATCTCACTCTAACACCATGGGCTTCTCCAATATATGATGGAGCCACATACTTGCTGTGAAGCGTATGGCTAGACACATGCTTAGGAGACTCTTTATCTTTGGCAGTCTCTATTACACGAAACTCCAGATCTTCACTAAGACAGTTTGCAATAGAGAGGAGGCCAGAGAAGGTAATAAGTTTCTGAGTGGCTGACACGGTTTCAATTATCACCATGAAATGAAAATGATGATTTTCATGGTGGATAGTGTGCACCTGTTAAAGAAAACATTACTTTAATATATATGTTAACTAGTATTTGAAAATTTAAAACTGATTAAATAAATAAAGCTGCAATAGATGAGTAAGACGAGTAAAACATATGACAGGTAACTGCTGCACCTGTGTCTTACTCATCTACATTTTAGTAATACACATTACTGCTAGAACAAAAACTGTAACACATATATAAATCATTACAGGCATACCTCTTAAGTACGACACTCATTTTAGAGAGCTTCGTTAACATGATGCTTTTCAATCTTTTTTTTTTAACACGTCGGCCGTCCCCCACCAAGGAAGGGTGATCCAAAAAATAAACACTTTCACCATCATTCACATAATCACTGTCTTTGCAGAGGTGCCCAGACATGACAGTTTAGACGTCACTCCAAACAGTCAATATCCCAAATCCCTTCTTTAATGTGCAGGCATTGTACTTCCTACCTCCAGGACTCACGTCCAGCTAACTGGTTTCCCTGAATCCCTTCACAAAATATTACCCTGCTCACACTCCAACAGCTCATCAGGTCCCAAAAACACTCATCTCCATTCACTACTATCTAACATGCTTACACACACTTGCTGCATGTCCAGAACCCTTACACACAAAACCTCTTTTACCCCCTCCCTCCATCATTTCCTAGGATGACTCCTACCCCTCCTCCCATCCACTACAGATTTATACACCCTCCAAGCCATTCTATTTTGCTCCATCCTCTCTAAATGACCAAAACAGCTCAACAATCAAACTATACCACGGGTGGGGATAGAACCCGTGAATAACACTTTTTGTAACTCCACACCTCCTCCTATTTTCTAGACATATGTATTATTTCAGCACTTGCCTTGTTTTTGGCAATTTAAAAAATATTTATTATTCTTACTTTTGCATAATTTTTTAGGCTTAGTGCTATTGCACAGTTAATAAGTGATAGTGTAAACATGTTTTTTTAGGTTTTTATATGCACTGGCAAGTGAAAAAAGGCTGTGATTTGCTTTAAGACAATACAAGTTGACCATCACTACTCCAGCACCACTGGGACCAGTAGGGTGCTGGATTACAGAGTGGTTAAGTTAGAATACATTTAACCCAATGAACTATTTTTGGCCCATTCCATTGTTCCAGTCTACCAGTCTCATAACTATTTCACTAGTATTTCATCTATTCTGTTGATTGAGTACAAGAAACTGCCTATTTACCTATTTCAACTACCCAATAAAGTGCTCAGAAAATGGTAATTTGGACAATTTCACACAAATTTCAAGAGATACCAATTTCAAAATAGGGTCCAGAATAAACAATGCAGACATTCCTGGCACTAAAATAACATTTTCTCTGTTTATTTATCACTGCTCCAGGCCCCTCTTGCATTATGCTTGCTTTCCATTTTAAATTTTTATTCATACATAAAACAGAAGATTTATTGTTATGCAGACTACTGCACTATTGTAATAATTATATAAATAATGTCAACCCATTCATGACTGCGTATTAGACTGGCCAGTTGGACACACATTAGACAGTGACGTCATTTGTTTACTCTTGAACATTGGCAAAAATCAAACATTTCCTCTACTTTGAGCACAATTTCAAGGTACTTTCCATCGTGAAATCAATTAAAATAATATCTATTTCTGTAATATATCTTCCATTCTATCAAATGAGACCAAAAAAATGAGAACACAATCATAAAAAACATATGAAAATAGACCACAAATTCGAGTTTTACACCAAAAATATGGTTGCAATTTTTTCTCATTATGCACTGTGTGTTGCAGGATTTTTTTTGTATAGTGCACACTTACCACACAGACCTATTCTCTCATATGCAGGCCCAAGTTTACCAGTCACAGCATATCTGAGTGAATGTAAGTTGGTAGAATTACCGACAATACATGAAATGAAAGGACACAAGTGCAACTAATGTGACATTTTATTGTGGCAACGTTTCGCTCTCCAGGAGTTTTGTCAAGCTGATACAAACAATACAAGGACACAGAGGGTATATATAGGCTTAGAGTGAGGTGTAATACTAGTGGTGGTAGTAGTAGAAGTAATACAATATGGTAGAACAATTAACTTGCACATGAGTAAAAGGATATAAAATCTATTACTTGGGTAGCATAAAAATAGGTTAGACAAATATTTTTATTGGAGGTTGAATTAGAGAAGGTCTGTTTCAGTGTTCATCCTCTGTAATGTGCTTGTGTAGTATTAGCAGGAGAGACTATGTGATGGCAAGGTTTATTGTTTTCAGGAGGATTCTTGTAAAGACTTCAGAGAAGTTGAAGTTGCCTTTGTTTTATTTAGTTGTATTAGAAACAGCAATTAGTGTTGATTCAAGGCACTTGCGTATGCGGAAATTAGTTTCTTTGATCACTAATTGGGCGTCCCTGAATTTCATGAGAAGATTGGTGGAATTTCGGAGTTGTATGCAGGTGTTGTTCAAGTTATCATTCCTACATGCATAAATGTGTACACTGAGGCAGGTTTCAAGGTTTCTTGCTGTTTCACCTACATAAATCCTGTTGCAGCCTCCACAGGGTATAGTGTAAGCCCCTGCATTGACTGGTTTATGGTGCTTGGATTTTGTCCTGATTAGATCCTTTATTGAAGTGCGAGAAGCAATGGCAACTCTAGTGTTAGCTTGTGAAAGTACTTTAGAAATGTTCAATGCAACCTGGCTGTTGGGAAGAATAATAACTTTGTTAGGAGTGGTGTTGGTGTGTAGAGAATTAATGATCTGAAGAGCTCTTTTCTTGCAGTCTTTGATGAAAAATGAAGGAAAATGTAAATCAGTGAAGGTTTGGAGAATGTAAGTACAGTGGACCCCCGCATAGCGAACTTAATCCGTGCAAGAGGGCTGGTCGTTATGCGAAATGTTCGCTATGCGAATTAATTTTCCCCATAAGAAATAATGGAAATAAAATTAATCCGTGCAAGACACCCAAAAGTATGAAAAAAAATTTTTTTACCACAAAAAAATGTTAATTTTAGTACACACAAACTGAAAAAGGCATGCACAATTACATGACACTTACTTTTATTGAAGATCTGGTGATGATTGATGGGATGGGAGGAGGGGAGAGCATTATCTTCTTACTGTTTAGAAGGGGAATCCCCTTCCATTAGGACTTGAGGTAGCAAGTCCTTTTCTGGGGTTACTTCCCTTCTTCTTTTAATGCCACTAGGACCAGCTTGAGAGTCACTGGATCTCTGTCGCACAACAAATCTGTCCATAGAGCTCTGTACCTCCCGTTCCTTCAAGACTTTCCTAAAATGGGCCATAACATTGTCATTGAAATAGTCACCAGCACGGCTTGCAACAGCTGTGTCAGGGTGATTTTCATCCATAAAGGTTTGCAGTTCAACCCACTGTGCACACATTTCCTTAATTTTTGAAGTAGGCACAATGGATTCCACAACTGGCATAGGCTTCTCAGGGTTAGCCCCAAACCCTTCAAAATCTTTCTTAATTTCCATACTAATTCTCACCCTTTTTACCACAGGGTTGGCACTAGAAGCTTTCTTGGGGCCCATGGTCACTTATTTTCCAGAAACAGCACCGAAAACACTGTAATAATACGAAATATTCCGAGTGTATGCTTGAATGTTACCGAGGAGGCTAGCTGGTAAACAATGGGACGGGCGGCACATGTGAGGCTGGCTGAGGGCCCACATTGGACGCGTCTCGGACGAAGTTCGCTGAGCGGGTTTTTGTCTACTATGCGGGGCAAAATTTCAGCGAACAAAGCGTTCGCTATGCGGATTGTTCGCTATGCAAGGCGTTCGCTATGCGGGGGTCCACTGTACATTCCTCATCAAGAAACTCAGGACTACAAATTCGGAATGCTCTTAGGAAAAATCCGATGATGATGCCTCTTTTAGTCTTAGTATCTTGACTGGAATAGAAGTGTGTGAGGTCATTTTTATTTGTAGGTTTCCAGTAAACTTGAAATCATAGGTTGTTATCTACTCTGTGAATGAGGACATCTAGAAAAGGTAGCTTGTCATTAGACTCTTCTTCTAGTGTAAACTGGATAGCCGGTTCAACTGTGTTGAGCCTTGCCTGAAGATTCCATACACCAAAATGTTTGGGAGTTATTACGAGGACATCATCCACATAATGTAACCAAGTGACGCTCGACTGCCGACAAAGGAGGTGGAGTCGTCTTACTCACCACCAGTGACTACAACACCAAAATGATGGACCTTTTGAATGATCAATCTACATATGAACCCATCAGCACACAACAGTGGGAGACACTCACCAAAGATTTTCTATACAAAACCAGACAAATATGTACTCAAATGCACTAGAGAAGGGAAGAAACTTCCGTACTTGTTACCCAGCAACCCTAAACCAGCATACATGTATGGTTTACCAAAGACCCATAAACATAATATTACTCTCAGACCTATCACATCAGGTATAGGCAGTGCACTACACAAACTAGCAGGAGTTCTTGCCAAACATCTTTCCTGCCTTCTGGGGAACATCAGCCCCACTCGTCTTAAGCATTCAGGTGACCTTCTCAACCGTATCTAAAACCTCTCCATCTGTAACAAAAAAATAAGCAGTCTGGATGTGACTTCCCTCTTCACTAAAGTACCTACTGCACAAACCATCGAGGTTCTACAACGTAAAATCAATCAGGACCTTAATCTTCCTCTACCACCTGGAGATTTTGTTAACCTGATCGAACTCTGCATTAATTTAAACTGTTTTTCTTTCAATAACAGGTTCTACAAACAAACCTAAGGCATGGGAATGGGGTCCCCCATAAGTGCCATCTTAGCCAACTTGTACAGGGAACATATAGAGACTAAACACTTCGCCAGCATCATCCCCTTAAGTGACACTTGGTTACGTTACGTGGATGACGTCCTCGTAATTACTCCCAAACATTTTGATGTACGGAATCTTCAGGCAAGGCTCAACACAGCTGAACTGGCGATCCAGTTTACACTAGAAGAAGAGTCCAATGACAAGCTACCTTTTCTAGATGTCCTCATTCACAAAGTAGATAACAACCTAGGATTTCAAGTTTACTGGAAACCTACAAATAAAAATGATCTCACACACTTCTATTCCAGTCAAGATACTAAGACCACAAGAGGCATCATCATCAGATTTTTCCTAAGAGCGTTCCGAATTTGTAGTCCTGAGTTTCTTGACAACGAATGTACATACATTCACCAAATCTTCACTGATTTACATTTTCCTTCCTTTTTCATCAAAGATTGCAAGAAAAGAGCTCTTCAGATCATTAATTCTCCACACACCAACACCACTCCTAACAGTTATAATTCTTCTCAACTGCCAGGTTGCACTGAACGTTTCTAAAGTAATTTCACAAGCTAACACTAGAGTTGCCATCGCTTCCAGCACTTCAATAAAGGATCTAACCAGAACAAAATCCAAGCACCATGAACCAGTCAATGCAGGGGCTTACACTATACCCTGTGGAGGCTGCGACAGGATTTATGTAGGTGAAACAGCAAGAAACCTCGAAACCCACCTCAATGAACACATTTATGCATGTAGGAATGATAACTTGAACAACGCCTGCATACAACACTGAAATTCCACCAATCACCTCATGAAATTCAGGGACGCCCAATTAGTGATCACAGAAACTAATTTCTGCAGACACAAGTGCCTTGAATCAGCACTAATTGCTGTTTCTAATACAATTAAACAAAACAAAGGCAGCTTCACTATCTCTGAAGTCTTAGCAAGAATCCTCCTCAAAACATAGTCTCTCCTGCTAATACTACACCACATTATAGAGGATGAACACTGAAACAGGCCTTCTCTAATCCAACCTCCAATAGAAATATTTGTCTAACCTATTTTTATGTTACCCAAGTAATAGATTTTATATCCTTTTACTCATGTGCAAGTTAATTGTTCTACCATATTGTATTACTTCTACTACTACCACCACTAGTATTACACCTCACTCTAAGCCTATATATACCCTCTGTGTCCATGTATTGTTTGTAACGGCGTGACAAAACTCCTGGAGAGCGAAAAATGGCCACAATAAAATGTCACATTAGTTACACTTGTGTCTTTTTACTTTACTTATCTGAGTGAGCTGAGCCCATGGCGAACAATGGCTTCAAAGCTTCCTTATCTTTTATGGCCAATGTATGGTATATGTATGTGCTTTACACAATGAGAAGCATTTCTTTTATTTGCTGGAACCATGGCTAGGGCTAAAAGTGAGCAGGTTGTAACAATAAATGGAAAAAAGAAATTGGAATAACTTATGCAGCAAGTAGTGCCGCCAAACAGTAGCAACAGGTTGGTGTGGTGACCCTGGAAATTTGAAATTATGCTAGCCAAAATTAGTGCCGGATTACTGACTGCCAGATTAGTGATGGCCAACCTGTATTTGTTTTACAGCAGCAGTGACAAACTTAACACAGCATATTAGTGAAGAATGCTGATATAGTGATGCTGAAGAGAATTTACAGCTAAATAATAATGATGTACACAAGTTCATCTTACCTGAGAGCCTTCAGCTTCTAGTGTGAATGGGTCACACCACTTCCACTTTCCACCTTCTACACAAGCATGAAGCTGAGGAGAAAGTTTGTGGCTTCTCCAGCAGTACAAGTGCATACTGCGTGATGTCAACAGCACATTTTCATCTGTTCCTACTTGTCCAAACCTTATTGTTTCTAATGTGTCATTACAAATAAGATAATTAGTCATAAAAATCACAGGTGACTTTTTAATACACATTAAATTGGGACCACTGGAACTATCTGACACATTATCAGAGACCTGCTGCCAACTTTCATAAGCAACATTTAATGTGTGGATAATAGACTGATTAATGTGCACAAACATTGGCTTGACAGTCATTATGCAATCAACACAGCTTGGTTTGTCTGGTCCATCTGCACCTTGCCTCACTAAGCTTGCATCTATGAAAGTAGGTTCTAGAAGACAGCTGTTTGTCAGAAAACTGTAACTGAGAACATCCAAACGCAGCGAGCCACCGCTCTGCACATGCACTGCAGACGACCACACGTAGCTCCGAAGGAAAGAATTTTCCAGAGTAAGAGTGAGAAAAGGTTGCTCTTCTGGTGCTAATTTATCTAGAGTGAAAAATTTCAATTCTTTAGGCAGTGTCTTGCCTGTAAGAGACAAATGATTCAACAATGTGATTTGTGCTTGACCAACTGTTACAACTGCTTGTGTGCGAGGAAGCAAGTCTACTGAGAACATAGAGTCAACTCTCATACAGGCAGCCAACGCCCCAGGAGAAACAACAATACGGCCATCGCCTGAACTGCTGTCGTCTTCACAGAAATCAATACACACTCTCCACATAGAAGAAACAGCAATATGCTGCTTTTCATAAAAACTTGGTAAGTCAAGCTGACAGAATTTTGATTCTGAAAGCTGGAACTGACGATACGTTATAAAAGTTTCCCGCAGCGAATCATAATATTGAAGGGCACATAAGACTTGATCTTTATCCTGTGTCTCCATCACAGTACTAAATTCTGATGCAGCAATAAAAGGAACAGGATAAATATCTACTCTAGTTAATGTTCGTGGCTCTGGATAGCACCATATCATAGTTCCAGCCATCTTATCAAAAACAACCTGGTATGGCTTAGGATCTTCAAGGGCCAGACTGACATACTGGAATATTCCTGCTCGCAAATCATCTTGGTACAAAATATCATGATGATGTTCTTTCTCTTCAAGTCTTGAGGAAGTGTGCTGAGTTTGTGCCCTCATTTTCTCACATACAAATGAAGATATGTGATTGTACATATCCATAAAACAAAATAAATGTTCTGGTCCCAGATCAACCGTCACAGTTTCAGTGTCGACCTTTATTTCTATATACGGCTTCAAGCTCCACTGCAACCACAACAATTTCAATTCACCAGTCACTGTCCACGGCTTGAGGAAAGACTGAAGCTTCTGGGAATGATACATAGTTTTCAGCTGGAAATCAAGAACCTCTGCAGCAGCAGTAATTTCCGAGATGATGTCCAACCTGTGATCCTGAGCTTGACCTGAACGTTTCCGTGATGTGCCAATACAAAGTTTTATACCTGATACACTACTGTGCACTTCACTTCTTGCCTTATGTGCTTTTAAAACTTCACAATTAACAACTACTTGATTAGTAACAAAAGATATGCTATCAAGATTTGTCAATGCCTGGCGTAGCAATTCTGGCGATGAAATTTCTTTACTTTTGCTTTTATTAGGCTTGATTCTCTCTTGTTCTGATGCAGAGTCCATGGGTGGTAGAACACTTGCCATGCAACTCATTACATGGACTACTTGTTGCCACCGACTCTCACTTAAATAAAGGCGAACTGGTCTTCCAACTTCTATGCTGATTCGAGCTGTAGAAAAAAAAAAAAAGGTTTGAGCAAGGTATTATTTGCTGTAATTAAAAATTTCACATGTTATACTGTTTGTTATTTATTTTATTAACACATCAGCAGTTTCCCACCAAGGCAGGGCGGCCTGAAAAAGAAAAACTAAATTCGTCATTCACTCCATCACTGTCTAGCCAGAGGTGCACTTACACTACAGTTATAAAACTGCCACATTAACACCCGTCCTTCACAGTGCAGGCACTGTATTTCCCATCTCCAGGACTCAAGGGGCATTTTCGTACAATTTTTTTTTCTTGTCTGACTTCTTATATTTTTGGTGTACTTGAGGAAGTGTTCACTTTCTTTATTGTGTTTAAGTATCAATAAGATAGCCCAAAAAACAACTGAAGAAAAAATATTTACTGAAAATGGCAATTGGCAAGAACCCCGGCCTAAATGGCACTACGAAAGGTGGTTTTGAGACTTGCTACTCATAAAACAATGCTAATGCGATCTTTTCTGTTAGCTTTTCTGTAAATATCTTATCTTTATTCTACCAAAAAAAAATAAAGTTGTGAAGTTTTTGACATGTTGCAAAATACATTGCCGTTCACTCCCACACAAATCCCAAAATATTTGGAATACGTATTTCCAAAAGACAATAGACAAATTGTAGAACAATCATTGTTTTGTGATTCCTGTGAAAATTATTTTATTTAATTCAATAATAAATGATAGGCTTCATGAATTAAGTCAATAACTTACTTCCGAGATTTTCACCGAAACCACAGACTGCCCTCATGACTTACGGACAAATTTTTTTTTCAAGAAATTCACTTTTTTTTCCAGTCTTCTTTTGATGAAACTAGTGATGTAGTGCAGTTAGCCTTACAAACACTCTGTTTTCTCTTATCTCATAGCCAAAGAACACCAGATAGGAAGGGTATGGTCTGAGCAGTAATTATTTTATGTGGTGGGGCTGACCACGACAATTCGTCATATTAAGGCCTATTTTATTCATTCTAGAGTATATATTGTGTTTCTACGTTATTTATATTGTTTATGTCATATTAAAACAACTTAGGAGTCTGTGGAGACAAAGAACTTTGTCCTTGGAGGCAAAGAGGGGAATGTATGAGAGTATAGTTTTACCAACACTCTTATATGGGTGTGAAGCATGGGTGATGAATGTTGCAGCGAGGAGAAGGCTGGAGGCAGTGGAGATGTCATGTCTGAGGGCAATGTGTGGTGTGAATATAATGCAGAGAATTCGTAGTTTGGAAGTTAGGAGGAGGTGCGGGATTACCAAAACTGTTGTCCAGAGGGCTGAGGAAGGGTTGTTGAGGTGGTTCGGACATGTAGAGAGAATGGAGCGAAACAGAATGACTTCAAGAGTGTATCAGTCTGTAGTGGAAGGAAGGCGGGGTAGGGGTCGGCCTAGGAAAGGTTGGAGAGAGGGGGTAAAGGAGGTTTTGTGTGCGAGGGGCTTGGACTTCCAGCAGGCATGCGTGAGCGTGTTTGATAGGAGTGAATGGAGACAAATGGTTTTTAATACTTGACGTCCTGTTGGAGTGTGAGCAAAGTAACATTTATGAAGGGGTTCAGGGAAACCGGCAGGCCGGACTTGAGTCCTGGAGATGGGAAGTACAGTGCCTGCACTCTGAAGGAGGGGTGTTAATGTTGCAGATTAAAAACTGTAGTGTAAAGCACCCTTCTGGCAAGACAGTGATGGAGTGAATGATGGTGAAAGTTTTTTGTTTTCGGGCCACCCTGCCTTGGTGGGAATCGGCCAGTGTGATAATAAAAAAAAATAATAAAACAACTGTGATAGATAAATAAGCTGTAAAGTTGATATTAGCATAATAATATAATATTTTCTCATGCCTTCCGAGACTCAGGAATTGCTTTGACATTAGGAAATGTTCCCAGACAGTTCCTGACTGGTTCCCACACTGTGTATTAGCTCCGCCCACTCTCTTATGATGCCTAATCGTCAATTGTTATAATAGAAAAAATAATACAAGAATAGGAAAAAAAAATGGAAAAGAAATCTAAAAATTTAATGCATGTGAGCAGGCATGCTACATGCAGCAATGTCACCATACATGTTTTAACCCCTTAACTGTCCAAATGTAGATCTACATTCTCTGGCCCAGTGCTCCGAATACTTTGAAAAAAAAAAATTTAAATAACAAGGACATTTTTTATATAATGTCGAAAAAAGAATTAAATACAAAATAGGAAGTGACACAGTTACTTTTTGTTGATGATACTGTGCTTATGGGAGATTCTAAAGAAAAATTGCAAAGGTTAGTGGACGAATTTGGGAGTGTGTGTAAAGGTAGAAAGTTGAAAGTGAACATAGAAAAGAATAAGGTGATGAGAGTATCAAATGATTTAGATAAAGAAAAATTAGATATCAAATTGGGGAGGTGGAGTATGGAAGAAGTGAATGTTTTCAGATATTTGGGAGTTGATGTGTCAGTGGATGGATTTATGAAAAATGAGGTTAATCATAGAATTGGTGAAGAAAAAAAAGGTGAGTGGTGCGTTGAGGTATACGTGGAGGCAAAAAATGTTATCTATGGAGGCAAAGAAAGGAATGTATTAAAGTATAGCAGTACCAACACTCTTATATGGGTGTGAAGCTTGGGTTGTAAATGCTGCAGCGGGGAGGTGGTTGGAGGCAGTGGAGATGTCCTGTCTAAGGGCAATGTGTGGTGTAAATATTATGCAGAAAATTCAGAGTGTGGAAATTAGGAGAAGGTGTAGAGTTAATAAAAGCATTAGTCAGAGGGCTGAAGAGGGGTTGTTGAGGTGGTTTGGTCATTTAGAGAGAATGGATCAAAGTAGAATGACATGGAGAGCGTATAAATCTGTATGGTGAGGAAGGCGGGGTAGGGGTCGTCCTCGAAAAGGTTGGAGGGAGGGGTAAAGGTGGTGTTGTGGGTGAGGGGTTTGGACTTCCAGCAAGCGTGCGTGAGCGTGTTAGATAGGAGTGAATGGAGACAAATGGTACTTGGGATCTGGCGAGCTGTTGGAGTGTGAGCAGGGTAATACAGTGGATCCCCGGTATTCGATATTAATCTGTTCCTGAGAGCTCACTGAATACCGAAAATATCGAAAACCGAATCAATTTTCCTCATAAGAAATAATGGAAATCAAATTAATCCGTGCAAGACACCCAAAAGTATGAAAAAAAAAAATTTACTACATGAAATATTAAGTTTAATGCAATAGAATAATTACAATAACAATAAAACAATTGACACTTACCTTTAATGATTGATGGGATGGGAGGAGGGGAGAGGTGATAGTGTTTAGAAGGGGAATCCCCTTCCATTAGGACTTGAGGTAGCAAGTGTAGACAGCCTGTACTGTCTGCACAGACAGCCCATGCTGTCTGCCAGCTTAGTTCATATTTCGCGCCATGCTGGTGCTGCCACCTATAGGCCTTGCCACTTCAGTATGCCCAGACTTGCCTCGCTCTCACTCTCACAGCGGCCTAGCAGCAACACACAAGGCCTCCCAGCTCTCTCTCGTGGGATGGCCCTGCCCGGGCCATGGGCACAAACACACAAGCCTGTGTACCCACCACGACCTTTCAATAAAGTAAGAAGCCTCCAAAGACGTATCATTAACCACCCGCTTGCAGCATTACCAAATAAACCCGTTATAAATGGTGGAAAGCGGTGGTCGCAGCAGTATGTTTGCCCAGAGAGAGGAAGGAAGGAATGAAGATCTTCACTTCATCATCCCATACAACAAGCATCCGTCTCTCAACGAGTTATCCTGATGTCATGTCTGCACTTTTGAGCATCCAGACACAGGTACAAGCAGGATCCAGCCGAAATTTGCCGAAATTCTCCGAGAATTGTAAGTGACTCCACGCTACAGCGTCCCACGCTGTTTCCCAAGTCACGTGTTCAGCGTCACTTGTATGTTGCTGGTGTTGTTGTTCAGCTCAGCACAGCTGTTTCAGCAAGCCAGAGGTGAGTTTTGTGGTGATTTCTGCGTCCAGTGTGAGTTCTCTACATGTTTGTGGGTGGGGGAGGAGAGGAGAGGAAGTGGCCGTTTCTCACCTTGCCCATGCTCGCCCTACTCACGCTCACCCGTCTACCATACACTCACCACTACTCACTCCCTCTGCTGTGTTTTCTGCTGTTTTTCGTGTGAATTTGTCGCCAGTGCTGTGAATCCGAGTGCCCGAGGCCACTCGAAGCTACGTGGATCAGCATGCCATGTAGATCACGACGCCACGTGGATCCCGATGCCACGTGGGTGTGGGCGATGTCACGTGGACCTACAAACCACGTGAGTTACCGAGCCAGATGTCCCAGTCCACATGCTGTGGTCTGCTGCCCGCATCACATCGACGTCACCCACGATGCTGGCCGACTTCATGACGTCACGATGTCTGCTGACGTCACCTCACGATGTCTGCCTGATGTCACCTCGAGATGTCTGCTGACGTCACAGTGCTGCTTACGTCATCACGCCTGACATCACATGATGTCACCATCGAGTGTTCAGTAATTATTTCAGTATTGCAGAGAAGATTGAGAGAAAATATATGTCGTGTGTTAATTAATTCCTCTCAGTCAGTGTTCTCACATTTTAGTATGTCTTAGAGTCAGTTTTATGCACAGAAAAGCATCATTTGCTAGTTTAAGCCATGTTGTACCGCGGGTGTGTTTAAAGTTTCCGTGTGTCCAGTGAGGTCTGAGCCAGACCTGAGTAGCACCACTGTGTTAAGTCACCCGTGTGACCAGTGTGTTTGACAGCTATCAGACAGCCCCGAGTGACCGAGCCCTCTTGTACAGAAAGCTTTTATGCTCGTCGCTCGTGATGTTCTGCAGAATCGTACCTGCTACGATTCCCATCGAGATTTGTTTCACTTCACCTCTAGACCTTCAGAATGCAGTTATATGTAGAGAAACAAGTCTGGGGATGCTTAGACTAACCTCTGCTATAACTCCAACTGTCGAGAGATGATACTCCTCAAGCCGCAGTCAGCCCTGTTG